TTTTTTTTTTTTTTTTTTTGTGGTCACATCATTTTTCCTGGGATCTAATTGTTAATTTCTATAATTAGCGGAAGCTGAAAAAGGTAACAGAAGTGAACCAAGGTTTGAAGCTCGGACTGGTAGGGTATTGTCTTTGAGTGACATACTTCGTCACTCAGGACCTAATAGTGATGCCTCTGAAGATGGGCCAAGATCTGAAAGAGAAGATTCTGATTATGATGAGGAAGTGGAGTTTAACTTTGAAACTCAAATCTCAGGTGATGAAGGGCATGACGTTGAATCTTTGCATGGGAGTTTAAACCTGAGAATTCATCGAGATTCAAATGGCTCATGTGGATCTCCCTCCACATCATCCCAAGTTGATAGAGCATCTTACCAGGTTCATATGCTTAACTTTATTACAGTTTCAAATGTTTCAAGATGATGGGCTGGTGTTAAATTAATAGCGGCCACTATAGTGGAATAGTGTAGTTGAAAACGAATAGGGATGACATAGCCACTATAGCGTCTGCAATTGTCTTATGTGGCTTCTAAACGCTATTTTTGGGCTTTATTTTCTTTGTAATTTGTTAATTCTTATGACTTTATTTGCTTGAGAATATTATTTGTGTAATTTTTGTTAATTTTTATAAGCTATTAGGTATTTTTTGCCTCTTTCCTACTAGTTTATCTGTTATTATTATTATTATTTTAATTGGCCACTATTTTGTCAATAGCCGTTGCCACACTGTCCACTATAAATTCATGGCTATGTGCTGCTATCTGCAATTGATAACACTTTCATTGATAGGCAATGTGTAACATAAATAAATGTACTGTTCTTACCTTGTGAGCTTTGGTTGTCAGGATTTGTGGCTAGGTTTTTCTCTCATGAAAATGCTTGTCAATCATTTGATTGGGAACCTAAATTCTGTTAAATATAAGTGAAACTAGAGTGGGATGGAGAAGAGTTAGTAGGATGTGGTTCATTGCATCATTGCTAATTGACACTTCGACAGATGCAACTTGCCCAACCAGTTTTTATTCTGTAAAACAGACATTTTATTGCTTCTGTTATCCTGTAACCTATCGATTTCTCATTTAACATGTATTGCTACTTTCATTTAATCATCCTGCTTATGACATTTATTTTCCTATCTTGGTATTTTCCTGTAGCCTGAGGTAGTTATTGATATGAAGCAGAGATTTGTTGGCCATTGTAATGTCGGAACTGACATCAAACAGGCTAGTTTCCTTGGTCAAAGAGGTACTTTTTTATTTGATCTTATTATCTTTTGGAAATCAGGCCTTTTTATTTTATCAATTTTGCATTCATCTTTTAAACTGGCTTTTTATCATGTGTTCTGTACATTGGATTTTTCAGTGTTATGGCAGCATCACAGATTTAACAAAGCCACTTGCAAGCAATTTTTTTGAGCTAGGCTTGCTAGATGGTAATTTTAACATTGCATATTTGTGCTCACAAATTGCTTTGAACTCTGATTTTCAAGTTCATTTATTTAATGACCTGGTTATACTAAGCCAGGGCGCAGACATTTATGAACAAGCTCACCTGAGCCGTATGGTGTCTGCCCTTAATCTTTGCTTGATGCAAGACAATCATTTTACAGCATAGCCAATTTTGTCTCTGGTCTTTTTCTGTAACTGATTTTGCAACATGACCACAACAATTTCATGTGTGGTCTTTTGCCAAATAAGCCATTATATTTGTATGGCCTAAAGGTACTCCATGTGGTCAAGGAGGACCAGGGTTCAATTCTTAGTCTCAACTCCACCCTTCTCCCAAAAAAATATCATATTCGAAAAAACAGAAAATGGGGTTACTAATTGCTATTTCTATGAAATCCCATGATTTTACATTTCACTCATCTTTAGAATGGAATTGGGATGCCAACTGCTTTAGTCATGAACATAATGAAAATGTCTACCAATTGGTTTTCAGGTGAATATATTGCTAGTGGGAGTGATGATGGAAGATGGTTTATTTGGGAAAAGCAAACTGGTAGATTGATAAAAATGCTTCGTGGAGATGAAGCTGGTAAAACATTTGCCTCTACCAAAGAATGTTGGCCTTTTTTTCTTTTTTCTTTTTTTGTAATTCTCGTCCCTTTTTTTCTCCACTTTTCTCCTAAGAGCTTTCTTTTCCTCCACAGTTGTAAACTGTGTGCAGTGCCATCCATTTGATTGTGTTGTGGCAACCAGTGGAATTGATAGCACGATAAAGGTGATTATAATGCAAGTGTTCTGTTTACATGAGATTCTAAGTTCTTCTCTAAATCTTAATGGTGCATGGTTTTAGATGTGGACTCCTACAGCTTCTATTCCATCAATCGTTGCCGGTGGGTCAGCTGGTCCAGAAACTGCTGATGTATTGAAGGCCATGGAAGATAATCAAAAAAGCTTGATTGATAATCGCAGAGCCATCTTGTAAGCTATTTTTATTATATTGCTAACATGGTAGATGCATTGTACTATAATGGATAATTGCCTTGGGATATTCCTTGTTTCCCACATTTCCTCTTTCTTTATTGTACAAGTCAATGACTCTAGAAGTTATTAAATTTTTGTAAAGCAAGATTCTATGAAACACTTTACGTAAATGGAAAGCAGATTAGTTCTTCAAACTAGGTTTTTGCAGAACCTGGGACCTCCTAGGGCCTTGTGTATCCTATTGCTCAATCAGTTTCTTGTTTAAGTAAAGGGCTTCGGTAATAAATATTGGATTGTGGATTATTTAACTTCTGATTCTAGAGTCAACTAATCTGCAAGATCAAATGTGTTATTTGCAGCGCCCATGACCTATTGGAGCAGATTCAGATGCATGAGGGATCCTTACATCCGTTCGAGTGTGTCCAGAGCTAGGCACGCCCCTTAGTTGTACAGAAGCATGCAGATAATCATCCTCTCTTAGTGGAAGAGGTATTTATGGTTTCTTCTTTTTTTCGCCTGACATTTTATCATAGTTATGCACATCAAAGATCATTGCATTAAATCATAATATGAAACAATTTAGTAATTTGAAAAATTGTGTATTGTGGAGTTAGTACATTGCACCAAATGATATTAAGTCAGTCAGAGGAAACTGAAATTTGTCTGATCCCCTTGATTATGATAAAATTTTCTTTCCTCAGATGTTTATACTGTCCTTGAATTTGGTAGGCATATCACTGGTTGTTGATATTTAAGGTTTAATGTCTAGCTGAATATATGGAACATGTGAATAAAGAAAGGTGACTTTTGTCCAAACACTGAAGTATTGGGCCTTAATTTTGACATTGATTGTCTTATGGCACCTTGTTTGAGACCATGAATGGGTACACAATATTGTGAATCTTTCATCTTTTTGACTGGAAAATTACACCCTATGTCATGATCTTCCTTTTAAAAAATTTTCTTCTCGGTGTAATGCAGACCTTCCTTTCTGGACTGTAGGTCGTTGGTCATCCAAAATATCGAAAGGAGGCACAAAATATTTGATTCCAGGTAGCTAGCATACAATGTATTCCTGTCTTCGGTTTGTCAAAAATAAGTTAAAAGCAAAAAAAAAAAAAAAACCTTATATAAATGTAAAGCCTCGTAATTAGTCTTCATAAAAAATTATTCATATTTTCTCGCCTGATTTCTTCTAATTAGGGACCTTTGATTTGTTTATAGCAATAGGTTTCTGTACAGTTTGACAATGCTTATCATTTCATTGTAAATGTTCATTTCCACCATACTTTCATCGTGCTTCTGCTTAAACTTTCTGCCTCCTGAACTTCTGTCTCTGACTGGCTATTGTTCTGTCTTTCGGGATTGCCAAGAATCAAGATGCTTCTCATTATGCCAGGAAAATTGTTCTCATCTTTAAGGGACACAATTTTTATTTTATGTTGACTTGCTTAGGTGTTAGAATGATTAGTCCAGCCTTTGACTTCCTTTTCCCGTTATAACAATGGATCTATTTATTGGCTATTTGTTTTTATTTCTTGGTACATCAAAATTGGAACTTAGTTTATTGGTATTTCATGTCAAAATTAAAATTTTTAAGTTAATAAATATTAATTTAATCAACTTTTTATTAGTATTGATCGGTTATTTGTGCCAAAACCTACAAATTGATTAAAGTTTGCAATTATTTTGTGAACAGAGAAGAAATGGTACTTTATGGTTACTTTAAATGAAATGATCAATTCAGGCCTACCAAAGCTGGGCTACTTTGTATTTGCGAATTAATGTCAACATAGCTCGGCTCAGGAATCCTTGATTTTTTGCTTAGCCACCAAAGAGAGGAGCGCTGTAGAGAGCCTAGGGCTCTACAGAATTATAGTACAGTAGAACAGAAGGGATATGACTTCGTCAAATTGTGTTTTTTCTTGGATTAGTACCATAATGTTGGAGTTGGAAGTTGGAACATTAACAGTTTAAAACTATTTTGAAAACAATGTCTCTATCCACACTCCTTGGGTTCCCAGACACCTGAGTTGGCTGTAACTAATTATTGTACGAACCATTTGGACCCCCATTGAGACTTATTTCATGAGTCACAACAGGTTGATCATTGATGGAATGAGGTAGAAACTAAAATACGTCATGTGAAGTTGATTGGATTGGATGTGTGGAATCTCATCCAGTGGATCTTGATAAGAACTAATAAGGGATTTGTTGAGCGGTGTCATTTATTTTAATAGTTCTCTCTAACTGCATTAGCCAAGTAGGGAAGGATTGTCATATGCAATTACATGAGAATTGACTTAATTGGCTGAATTTCAAAACTTTGAATTAGAGACCCTAAATTTTGATAAAGACATTATGTCTTAGATGCCTAGGTAGCTTACTCCACTAAATGCTCTTAACTGGGTTAGTTTGTTCGATTCTCCAGTCTAAATATGTTAGCCTGAGACCGAACCCAAGTGGCTGCGATCTCAGGTCGGCTGATAGTCCCCCGGCTCTAGTTATAGCCATACATTACACTGTTAATGTCACAAAAATAATGTTTTTTACTTAGTTAAATTATTTTTTTATAAGGTAAAAATTTATTTACAAATAAATTTTATATCTTATTATTTATATAAAATCTTAAGAAAGAAAAAATTAAAACGTCATAACATTAAAAAGTCAAATATGTAATAATAATTATATAATAAATTTGATAAAATTAAAATTTATATTATATCTTACATATTTAATAATTATAGTTGAATGTATTGGTCCAGCACTTTGGGGCCTACTGGCCACTCCTTGCAGGACGTGTTTAGGACTATCAAGATTTGGATTCTAATCCCAAGTTCCTTTTCCCCTTTTCCCGAAAAAATTTGTTATTGTTAAAAAAAAAATTATAATTGAATGTATTAATGTTTTTAATGTCAAGACGTTTTATTTTTTTTTTTAATTTTAATCATTTATCTTTAAATTTTTAATAGTTAAATTTTATTTATATTTATTAAAAATAATTATTTTTATTTAAAAATTTATAATAAATTTTAATTATTAAAAATAAAAAATAAAAAATTTATATAAATATAATATATAAAATTTATATATAAATTAATCACTTCTCACTGTATAGAATAAGAGTCACATTAATTAATCAAGCACTAACACAGTATTGATGTTTTTTTTTTTTTTGAACGTTTTTATTATGGATCGGATTGAACCGTCAGTCACCCTGGAAAGGGTGGACCTTACAAACACAAGGCTTATGTTTTTTTTTTTTTTTTTGAACTTTTTGTTATGGATGGGTTTGAAACCGCTCAAGGAAGGGGGATATGTACTTTTTCAATGGTACTAGTCATTGGTACACAGGGCAAGTGCCACAGTCCTTAGGTATTGATTTCGCTGAATGGGTAGATTGGCATGGAAATGTCAATTACCTAAATACCATGCGTGCTTCGTATAAAGCTGCTTCTCAGTTCTCACAGAACGTGCAAAGTGCTTCGATCTACCCGAATGATTACTAATCTTCTTCTTTTTTTTTAAATTTTAAATGCCAACAACATATGAGGACCACATATTGCCTTTACCTTCCCTCTACTTTTCATACTCCCGTTACTACCCGATTAACACATGTTGCCTTGCCCCTCATTCTTCATCATTTCTCCCATTTCCCTTCCATTACATCTCTGACTCCCAGTAGAAAACCAACATATTAAATAACTTTTTAAAACATATAAAAGTTTTTTTTTTTTTAAAAAAATACATGTTAAACGTATATTTATTATATTTTTTACTTATTTATATAAAAAAATATAAAAGTAAATTTTATTTTTGACATCAATATATGAAAATAATTTAAATTTGATAATTGATAAAATTTAAATTTACTTTTATATTTTTCATGAAAATAAGTGTAATAAATGTATCTTTAACAAGTGTAAAAAAATTAAATATAAATGAATAATGGATAATAATTAATATACTTTTTTAATTGACACACTTATTAAAATACTACTATTATTCTTAAATTTGAATTCAAGATAAAAAAAAATTTTATCTATAAATTTTAATGACTGAAACTCATAAATGTTAATGGATGTGTTAAACCAAAGATATATCGTTGATTTTCTATTAGAAATCTAAACCCCTTTATCATTAATCAAGCAGTCCAACCCCTTGATGTTCGATTTTTCATGTTTTACTATCTTCAATTGATATCATTAGTTTAATTAGCAAGTTCATCCTTTTATCTCGTAAAATATTTATTTCCTTTAGATTTCAAGTTGGAAGTATCTATATATTTGTATGTGTTGTGAAAGAGAATCACAATTGAATAAATTAGTAATTAAAAAATTATTTAGATTAATTAAATTATCATTATAATATTGATGATGGAACAATCAATTTAACCATGATTCATGATGCACAAATATAAAAAATTTTATCCAACATGATGACAATTTGATGTTCTTTGAGTTATTGGATGAACACTACACATGTACATCATAAAAAACAAACCCCTCATTATACTAGACTAGATGATATTGTAATCACAACTTGAAAATAATTTGAGCATCATTTGAATGCGAAAGGTAAGTTAATTGTATGAGGTGAAAAGTCAATGATGGGTGTCTAAATTAGGTAAGCAGTAAAACCAACAGCAGTATACAAGGAGTAGGTGAGAAAGGAACATGACAATGAAAAATCAATAAAGTCCCAACATATGCCCATACCATGACCCCACCTACAAACCTTCCACATTAAAAAATCACTCACCAAAAATTTTCAAAATTTTTCGGTTTTAATTGAATGAAATCGACCAAATTCTGGCAAGCATTTGTTAAGGACAGATATAAAATTCTGAATGGTATTGGAGTTTTGAGCCAAAGAATTCAATAAAACTTGGTCCAAAGATTCATGGCTTTGCCATGTTGGAGTGCCGTTGAAGCCAACCATATTCTTCTTGCCTCTGGTTGACTGGAGTGGAGGCAGGATTTAATGGCACCATTTCATTTTTTAGAATTTTTTTTGTTCCCTAATCCTTCAACTGGTTTAGTAATTCCATACCATATGGTTATAATCCGTTTATTGTGTTTTTTTTTTTTTTTTTCCCTTTTTTAAAAGACCAGCTTGGTAGAAGATTAGTATAATAAAAAAGTAATATGTAATTTGGAT